AACTCTAAATAACACTTTCAACCGACTTGAGACGAGAGTAAGTCCAATTCGTCTTATTTTAGTAACTCTAAATAACACTTTCAACCGACTTGAGAAGAGAGTAAGTCCAATTCGTCTTATTTTAGTAACTCTAAATAACACTTGCAACCGACCTGAGAAGAGAGTAAGTCCAATTCGTCTTATTTTAGTAACTCTAAATAACACTTGCAACCGACCTGAGAAGAGAGTAAGTCCAATTCGTCTTATTTTAGTAACTCTAAATAACACTTTCAACCGACCTGAGAAGAGAGTAAGGCCAATTCGTCATATTTTAGTAACTCTAAATAATACTTGCAACCGACTTGAGAAGAGAGTAAGGCCAATTCGTCATATTTTAGTAACGCGTATTTTTATACTGACTACGCAGAAAACCGTAAAGAATGATGGGTTGGTGCTATTTTTGGAAACCATACCGAGGGGTCCGCGTGCACGCCTTTTCGGAAGAATAGGTTTGTGGTTTGACTGAAAATGGGGAACTTTGGTGACATCTGAGGCCGTTTTTATATATTCTAAACTTGTTGTTTAGGTGACGTGCCCATTAAACACAGGGGGTAGACAATAAGGACCTCTGGGTAACGTAGGAGCTGAGGAGATCAGGTCTAAACACCGCCCCCTTGTAATTCTCCGAGGGTCCTAAGGGTATGTGCCAGGTTTGGTGACAATGGGTCCAATTGCTCACCATTTATAAGCGGACACAGACTATAAATAATATATCTGATCTTGTGACTCTTCTAATTGTCAGTGAAAATGGTGCACTTTGATGGTGTTTGGGACTGTTTTTACGCTTTTTATATATGTTATATACAAAAGTGAATGCTATTTAGAGGAGGGGTGTGTGATTGCACCAGACTCACTCCCCACCTACCCACCCGCATGTACATCGATATAGAAATTAATAAAAACCCTATAACCCGAGCGCTTTCGAAAGGTGGACCTTTCTTCTTTTGCCCCTGAATTGTAATTTCTGTTTGTCCAGTCCGGCTGTGGTGTTTTTGTATTATACGAAAGACCTCCTGGACAGTGACTTGTTGGAGAAAAAAATAAGAAGGATCCGAAATATTATTCTTACACTCATCTGAGTTCAAATTCGTAATCGGAAAATTATGAGGAGTGAAAAAACAAAAAATGTTATCTTACGTAATTTTTAGTACAGATATTAGGCTTACCGTTTTTTCAATACTTCGCCAGATTTCGGCGTTCAAGCTTAACCGTTCAACGAAACGTCCTTATTTCTTTGGGTTGAAATTAATTTAAAAAACACAAACAAACAATAAATTACTTACGTGTAAGTATATTTTATCATTTGCGTGTTAAATAAGCCAAAAATACACTGCGAATTTTACATTTATCCTAATATT